TCCGGCCCCTAAGGGGTCATTTTCCCGGTCTCAAACGGGAGATTCCAGTTGGCCATAAACTTTTCGAGCACAGTCTGAGTTCCAGAATTTAAAAGTACATAAAAACACCACTGTTGCGATTGCGACGTCCGAAACACGATTTTCCGGCCCCTAAGGGGTCATTTTCCCGGTCCCAAACGGGAGATTCCAGTTGGCCATAAACTTTTCAAGCACAGTCAGAGTTCCAGAATTTAAAAGTACATAAAAACACCACTGTTGCGATTGCGACGTCCGAAACACGATTTTCCGGCCCCTAAGGGGTCATTTTCCCGGTCCCAAACGGGGAATTTCAGTTGGCCATAAACTTTTCGACCACAAATCCGGGTTTGGCTTTAAAATGCACCTTCGACCTCACCATATTCCGGAATCCATCTTTCAGGCCCTATAGAGGCCATTTTTGGCCCCTGGGGCCAATTCCAGACGTGGAGGGCCATTTCTGAGCTCGGGATCGTATTCAGCGTCGAAAAATACATGGGAATATATATGTCCGACCCACAAGTCCGAACACTTTTTTTTTTGTGGGGCTGTGTAATTTACAAGCGGTGTAATTAAAACAAAATGGGTTAGAGCAATTTTTATTTACGACGGATTTAAAATGCCTATGCGGTTTTCCGGTGCTGTAAATAAATACAAAATTAGCACATAGTCAGATATCAGGACTCAAAAATCGGTAAGGTAGAAAAACGCAGTATTCGTTTGGTTTACTTAATAAACAATCTAATACTTTAAAAAACGGTACGCCAAAATAATATTCGGTTTTAAATTTCGGTCGGTGCTAGAAAGGGAAAAACAAATAAGGTTAATAAATTAGAGTAATAAATAATCAATAAAATAACTCGTTCTTACCATTTCGGCTAAAAAATGCCCCCAGTTGTTTTCAAAACGTTATGACTCGTGAAGTTTTGGCTAGATACCTTCACCATTTCACGCAAGTTTATCTCGATGACATAATAGTCTATAGCAAAACCATCGATGAGCACAAAGACCATCTACGACTCGTGCTAGAGCGAATGCGACAATACAACTTCAGCTATCGCCGGAAAAATGTTTCCTAGCAACCAGCGAGTTAGAGTACTTACTACTTAGACCATCAAATACAAGGAACTATCACAAAACCTCTGAACAAACATCTCCAAGCAATCCAGGACTTCCCGAAACCGAACTCCAAACGACAGTTACCAAAGTCTCTTGGGTATATGTAATGGATCCGGGAGTATGTTCTCGCCCGTTTTCCCGAATAGCCGTCGACCTGAGTTGAACGCCGAATCGCGGAAAGCTTAGTTTTCCATTTTCCGAAATTTCACCGAATGTTAGTATCAATTGTTACCGATTTGTCAGTGGCGAATTTATTTATTTATGGTAAAAAAATGGGAGTACATCTATTGGAAGAGGTTTTTTTCCTGATCAAGACCCCTGGTGTACACTTTCCTCCGCTGCTCTTACCCGGACGGCGACTTTTTGTGGGACATCAGAAAGTTCGGCACATATTTAATGGCGCCTGAGCACAGTGACTAGATTGGATTTGATTTCAAGAAAGAAAAATTGTTTTCCGAGGGTTTTGTAACTTGCCGAACACGAAACTACTGTCGTTTACGTATCTCCAAAACTACCGCTTATTTTGAAATTCCGAATATTCCAGAGGACTCCTGTGAGCTCCTGAAGCCCGAATCTGCACTTTTCTGCAAAAAGCCGAACTTTGAAGAAGTTTCCCGAAGTCACCCGAAGTCAAGTGAGGGAGTCTAGATCAAGGTAATTTGAGCCAAGGAAGCGTTTCCGACCACTCCCGAGAAGATCCGACCATTAATGAAAGAGATACGGTAGGCATGCTACCGTTGTACAAACGGAGTTAGCAGGCATAACCATAGCCGCTAAGGAAATTGCCCGCAGGCATACTACGGGCAAAACCATTAGAATCTACAAGGATAGTAGACAAGCACTACTGACCTTGCGCAATCATAAGATAATGACTAGGACAGTATGGGAATGCCATGAAGCACTGGTTGTGGCCTCGGCGCCGCTAACAGCATATATGTATGCTGGGTAAAGGGACATGAGCGGTGATATGGCAATAAAGAAGCTGACAAGCTAGCCAGGAGCGCATCGGGCCTCAACATTTTTGGAACCGGTCCCTCCAGTGTGCTTCCGTTGTCGGCACTTGCTGGAATTATTACCTAAGGAAGACACCCACAAAGAATTTATGAAACGGTGGGATGAAACAATTAGCTGTCACTTCGCTAAGGAGCTCTTAGTGTACCTAGCAAAGACACAGCCAAAAAATACGTGGCCATATCTAGGTCAAATCTTCGCCTGGTGACAGGTATTCAAACTGGACACTGTTGGCTAAGGAAACACCTTTACAATATGGGGAAGCGTGAAACACTTTTTGGTAGGGGCTGTGAACAGGAAGACGAGACGATATTGCATGTACTATGTGAATGCACTGCCGTCTCGTCAACAAGAGAGTCCATGTTGGGAGAACGCTGGTCTTCAATGGCCTATATTAAAGAGATCCCCCTGAGCAACGTCACCACCTTCTTCACTGTAATAGGCTGGCTGGCGGCTCAGGCGGATTGATCTCTCTAATGGGAGGATGTACAAGGGGCCCAATGGGGCCTAAGTGCTGTAGCTTTGCTACCCTCCCCACAACTCCAGAACTCCAGATGGTAGGCAGAATTGCCATAACGAAGAATTTACGAATTCTGAGGGTAGAGCGCTATCCAAAAGGGGAAAAAGGATCGGAATAATACCAGATTTTCAACAAAATGAATACCGAAGGCGAAGATGCGTTGGCCTTGAAATAGCTGACCCTAAAATAGGCTGCATATATAAGTTGAAAAAGGAAGGTCTAGTAATGGAATACGATGACTTTGCAGACCGATGGAACAGTAGACGAGCTACGACGCCGACTAGTAGCATACCTGAGAGTCGAACCACCGAAAGATCAACCTACACCCTCCGCAGTACCAGGGACGTTAACAAGACCATCCCAACCATCGTTTGACTTTGATCTTCTGAATCAAAGCTGATCCAGTCTCATTTCTAGAAAGACTTGAGCAACTACAACAATAATATGGCATAACCGACCAACAGCTTTTGAGGACGCTGCCGGGGATACTTCAAGGCAGTGGCGGCTCGTGACATTGAGAATAGGTGAAGCATATTCATTGATTGAAAATCGCCGCTGGCGGTGCGGTGGCGAAATTTTTTAAAATTACAAGGTCAAACGGCTTTAAATGAATCTGGAAATTTTTTGTTGCATTTGCAGTATTGCTGAAAAACTGACGTTTGTGAGAAGGATTTTCATTTAGATTTTATAAAAATAGAAATATTAGTTCGGCTTGTGGATTTCTGTGTTCCAAAGAAGCTTTGTGGTTACGACAACCTCGCATGACGTTCCCAAAATTGTTAATTCTTATTCTTATTCTACACGCCCGACTTTATATCCACAATTAAACATGGCATACAGAAAAGTTTTTTTAAATGAACACTTCCACACAACGCACAACCACTTATACTCCGAATACCATTCATTCCGAAATTTTCGAACGTACACGTTGTATTTTTCTATATCGAGAGAATAAGGCACAGGTCTCTCCCATTTAAAAAAATCCGATGAACTATTATCTTTTCCTATGTTAGTAATGTAAGCGTAATTCTGTATATATTGTGGGTCTGCGTACTAACATCCGATGAACAGTTAATCTACGTCACAAATCGGTTATAAAAGCCGACCTCCCGCACATGAGATTCAGTAGTGTTGATCGGCAATTTTCCTCAACACGAAGTAAGTCAGACTGTGTTGGGAGCCAGGGTACAAAGGTATTTGTGGAAATGAGAAAGCGGATGAACTTGCTAGGAAGGGATCCGAAACAGAGTTCATTGGCCCGGAGCCCTTCTGTGGCACGTCTCCCAGTGTGGTCAGGCGGGCTCTGGGCAAATCGACTGAGACCGAATACAGGAAATACTGGACTTCAAGGCCAGGACATAGCCATTCTAAGGAGCTCATGGAGTATCCTTCGAAGGAAAGAGCGAATGTTTTACTGAGCTTGAACAGAATCCGGCTCAGGAGAGTGACAGGACTCATAACGGGACACTGGCATTTTAGGAAACATCTACATAAGCTAAAGCTTGTAGACAGTCCGGTCTGCCGAGGATTTGAATCGGCGGATGAAACTTCTCTGCATATCCTGGGCGAGTGCCCGGGATTTGCACGTAGCAAATGGGGCATAGAAAATGGCGCTTCTTGGGAGACCCTATTTGGAACCCAAGGAACTGAGAGAAGTGTCAGCAAGGAAGCTTTTGGACTTTGTAAAAAGGATAAATCTATTTGCTGAATTGGACTAGTAGTGGGACGCACAATAGGCCTAATCAGGCCGCAGTGCTATGGGACTTGTTAGGACCAACCACCAGAAGAAGAAGAAGAAGAAGAAGTCAGCCTTCCCCCCTTGGTATTGGTCACGGTCCTACCAAGGTTCTTCTCTCCTTATCCTTCCGTCTGGGAACATGGGAACAGAGCGTCGGTCACTGTCCCGCCTGTTCTCAGCGTTCCCCTTACCCTTCCGTCTGGGAACAGAGCATCGGTCACTGTCCAGCTTGTTCTCAGCGCTCTCCTTATCCTTCCGTTCGGGAACAGAGCGTCGGCCATTTTTTCGCCTGTTCTTGAAACCCTGTTTCTCTGAAACTCCGAGGGTTGGCCCCTGTCCGTCTCGGAATCCCTCACTCACCCGTTTTCCCGAATAGCTGTCAACCTGAGTAGAACACCGAATCGCAGGAAGCTTAGTTTTCCATTTTCCGAAATTTCACCGAATGTTAGTACCGACCGTCACCGATTTGTCAGTGGTGAATTTATTTATTTATGATAAATAAATGGGAGTACATATATTGGAAGAAGTTTTTTCCTGATCAAGACCCCTGGTGTACATTTTTCTCCACTGCTGTTACCCGGACGGCGACTTTTTGTAGGACATCCGGGTCTCACACAGAAAGTTCGTCACAAGCTGTACACGGAGGTCCAGAACTCACAGGAATACTCACGCAGAACATAACGAGAAATTTTAAAAACCCCACTATATCACGCTAATGGACTAAGGAAGCAGATTATCGAGTATGTTAATAAATGCCTGCCATGTCACGCCGTAAAAACGCGTCAAGTACAAAAAGAAACTCCCCAAAAACCCCACACCACACAATCACCTTTCGAGGTGATAAGTATAGATGTATTGGGGCCATTCTCCGAAACGCCAAGAAATAACAAGTAAGTAATAATAGTAGAAGACTTGTTCACAAAATGAGTCGAAGCAAGACCCACATCGGATACAGAAGTCGCCACTAATTGTAAATTTCTCTTCGCTAGATACGGAGACCCTAGACAAATTATCTCCGACAACGCATTAGTATTCCAGTCATAAATACCTCATCATGGTCAGCAAAAGCAAATACAGCCATATCATACAGCTGTCTACTTCCAACGGGAGAACCAGGTCGAACGAAAAGTTGCCGACTTTAAAACCATTCTTCGAGCCCTCATGCATAATCAACAGCGACGAAGGAATTGGGATCAGCACCACGAGCCCTAACAATAACAACGCCGACGCAAAAACCGAGCTACAGGAGAATCTACAGCAACCGCTCTCCTACGTTACGAAGCAGCTGCACAAGGTGATTGAGAAATTCCCGAATTTCAAAGAAGACGAAGGCGACCTCGAGAGGATGCGCGGTTAAGACGCCAAACTATTATCGCTCGACAATTAAATTTCAATCATCAAACTTTCCCACGTCGAGACGATAATCCTACCGTTACTTCCAAGTCGGAGAGATGGTAATGGTGAGAGAGCACAATCCGCCAAATCCCTTTGCATCTACATGGGCAGGACCATTTCCCGTTATCCTTCGAAACTCATCACAAATATACGAGGTAGGCAAGAATGGAAGGCAATTCAAATACCACGTCGATCAACTTAGAACGGCCCCACCAAGGAACCCACCGTTAGAAGCAGATGATTCCAGCGAGGAAAAATATTGAAGCAAAATAAAATTGCTGCGACATTGCTATCATTTACAAATGAAACCTTAAAATTGTAAAAGTTTTTACAGTCGGTTTGCAAGAAATGATCACTTTGCGAAGAAACATTAATTTAGCAACTTTGTTGTAAACCTGTCAATAATCGTTGTGTAAGATTTAATAAAAATATAATATAATAATTGACTTTATTAGGTATAACCAGAGATTAAATTACAAAACTAGTAGTACAAAATATACAGAAAAAAATCTGGTGTACCCAAAAGGCGAAGTTCAATTGCTCACCAGTAAATAAGTGAGGTCCTGCTAAGGATGACTAAGCATTAAGACTACTAAAAATTTTCTTTATTTTAATTAATAATAAAGTTTGGAGTTTGAATAAAATAAAAATATAATAAATAATATAATAAATACATGTCTCAAAATAAATTAATATAAAAATTATTAGTAATAATAGGTAGTAATATTGCTTGCAAAGATTGGGGCACTTTTAAAGTTGGTGGTGAAATTTCAAAGACTTTTGAGGCTGATGGCAGAGGTCCAGTATTTTTTGAAGTTGACGGTAAAGGTTTAATTTCGTCGCTACTCTCTTTAATACAAGCAATGGCCCCTTCTTTTAAGAGTGTCAACGTACCAGTTTTCATATCATCTTTGTCAAAATGATCCGAACAATAACAAATACAAATAATTTTTGACCATGTAATGCTTTCATCCCATTCCATGCCAAGGACTTTTAGCCATTGACGAAATCTTTTACTATTTTTAGGGAAACTATAGAAAAAAACAACTTTTAAGTATAAGCAAACAAAAAATATAAGAATGTGAAACATACCGATGAAAAGTAACTTCTGAATTTGCGGGTAAAAATCGTTTAATATTTTTGCAGCTTCTAACAAAACACGACATTTTTTAATTCAGAAAATATAATCCTTAAAAGTCAATTACAATAAATTAACATAAAAACAACACTATTATCTTGTTTAAATAGGAAAATCGCGAAAATAATAACCTCAAAAGTAATTCAATAAACAATAGAACATACATAAATTCAGGTCACTTTAAGTTTAGAAGAAGATGAAGATAGTAGATAAAAATGGTCGTCTTTTCTATCCTCTTTTATTGCATGCTCCGTGTGGCTGCGCAGTCCTCGAAAGGCAGTATATTTCTTTAGGTATGTGGGAGGGAGGCGGAATATCTAGGATTAACGGATTGGGAAGTGATTTTCAGGTCGCCGGCGTATACAGGGTGTCCCGAAATTAGGGGGCAATATTTCTACGAGGTGTTTTATGTCGAAAAAGATTACTTTTTCTTTATATAAACATGGGTCCAAAAATTCTTCCAAAGGAAGTTATAGCCACTTAAAAGGACCACTCTGATGAAGTTTTTTTCCAAATAACTCCGAAACCAGTTGAGATAAATTTATAAAATTTGGTAACTAGCTTAATTCTTACGTGCTCAGTCCGCCACTAAAACAAAATTTACAAATTTTCATCACATACGTTCCAACACTGGGGAAAGAGGGGTAAAATTTACCATAACTTTTTTATGCGTTGACTTTTTTAACTTTTGACTGAAAAGTATGAAATTTCAGAATTTTTTATGAAAAAAAGTTACTCTTGGTTCATAATGGTAGAATGTTCAATTTTTGTGTTAAATCTGTTTAAAAATAATGTTACATGTGTTAATCACCGGAAATCGAAATTTTCAATGTTTTTTATCATCGCAGGTTTTGAATAACAAATATGCGTTTGGCGCTTGGCGTAATTTGCATTGACAGTTCAGTTATTTACTCTTTGCGAAGTGTTATCAGTCGAAAATGCAATATTTTACCAACATAGAGCTAGCAGATATTCATAATACCCATTTCCGGTCAAATATTGTATTTTCGACTAGTTGAAAAATATTTCGACCCATGTTTATATAAAGAAAAAGTAATTTTTTTTCGACATGGAACACCCCGTAGAAATATTGCCCCCTAATTTCGAGACACCTTGTATGTTGGTGTTGGGGGATGTGGGATGTCATAGTTGTAAATGGTGTATAGGTGTGGAGACAGGACGGTGCCCTGGGGGACACCGGCCTCCATGTGATTTTCGTGTAGGTAGGATTTTATGATTTTGGTAAAGGATATGGGGTATTGGTTGGTGAGTATTTTTATCAGTAGGCCTTCATGCCAAACCGTCTCGAAGACCTTTGCGACATCTAGGAAGACAGCGCCACTGTACTGTCCCATGTTGAAGGCCGCCGTGATATGCTCGGTAAGGCGAAGGATTTGGAGTTCGGTAGAGTAATTAGGTCGGAAGGCGAACTATTCGTCAGGAATGAGGGTTAGGATGATTTTTTCTACCACTTTGCTCATAGTCGGGATTAGGCTAATGGGCCGGTAGTTGGATGGAAAGGTGTGGTCTTTGTTAGGTTTTGGGATAAGGATTATGTTTGCTGTTTTCCAGTGGGTAGGGAAGTGTCTTAGTCTGAGTGTCGCGTTTGTTATGTTTAGTAGGGCCATGAGGCCCTTGTGTGATAGTCGTTTAAGTGTCGTGTTATGTATATTGTCGGGTCCGGGGGCTTTTCTGTTTTAAATTCTACGTATTGTCAGTCTTAGTCCGTCAGGAGTTGCGGGAGGGATTATGTCATTGTCTGGCTCTCTGTCTACGCGTCGGACCGCGCGCTCAGCCACTATTTCGAATTCCTCGTCCTCGTCGGGCAGCTGAGGCAGTCTACACTGCAGTTCCAGGCTGTCGGGCTTTTCCTGGTTCATGTAAACCACCCCTCTGCTGCCGTGGATTGGGGGGAATTTTACCGCGAGTGGTCTGTCGCAGGGCGTTTTCCAGAAGCTGTTGTTTTGTGGATACAGCGACTCCAAGTGCCTAGCCCAGTTGTCCTGGGCCAGCTCACCCAGAGCCGCCTTCACGCGTCTGTTAAGTACGTTTAAGTCATGTCTGTGTTGGGGCAAGCGGGTGCGGGTGGCAAGCCGTTTCGCACGTCATCTGTCGCGTATTAAGTTTTTTATGTCATCGGGGAGGGTGCCCCGGGGGTTTGTCAGTCGGGGGACAATTGTCTCAGTCGTAGTCTGTGTCAGGGCATTTTTAATATCGGTCTCGAGGGAGAGGATTGCCGCCTCCAGATCATGGGTGGTTTCGATGACTGAGAGCACGGTGTTTCCTTGCATTACTGCTCAGAAGCGTTCCCAGTCAGTGAACCACCTCGTAAAGGTGCCTTCATATCTCTGTCTTCGCACCAGAACCAGGATTATTTTATTGTGGGCGGAAGACCCTTCGTATTAGGCGGATATATTTAACGGTATAGATTTTAGAATGGCAATGTCTAAGACGTCGGGGCGTCCTACGGGTTCGTAATGTGTTGGGTCTGTCGGTCCGAGTATTGTCAAGTCGTCATGTCTGTCTTGGTAATCCAGCAGGACGCAATCTCTTACGGTCGTTGCCCTGCTGTGTCATATATGGGAGTAGTGTAAGTTGGAGAGTTGAAAATTTTCCCCCTACCACTTTTCCTTCCCCCACCACTTTCCCCGCCCACAAACCGGTTTTCAACCAACTAGAGGCGGGGGAGGTTCACGTTAACCAATAAGCGGTTGGAGAGTTGAACATTTACCTCCCATTTTTTTATTCCGACCAATGAGAGGTCGGAGAGTTGAAAATTTTCCCCACTTAATCAAACGGATCCAATGAGTGTTTGAAAATCTCCCCTCATATCAACCCCCCCACTTTTTCAAACGGATCCTTATAAATTGAATCTAACGTCTCTGGTTTAGAAGGATTTAAAATGTCGTATCATACTAATATTTTTGATTTGCCTATTCTAACAATTGACATACCAAATAATCTTCCTCCATCATTTCAGAATAAAAATTATTGTGTAGTAATAGGTGAAAGAAAATTTCATTTAAATAAATCAAGAACCAAATTCGTATCCGTTGGATTAGCATATGATTTTAATTACGAACCATATGTAAAGTTATGTGGAAACAAATGTGACGCTATAATATTCAACATAGAAGAATGGAAATCTTTTCTTACATATCAAGGAGTTATTACAAATAATCTCTACAACAGGAAATTAGCGGAACCAATAGAAACCGGAAATATTTCTATAGATTTTGAAGAGGTGATGAGTTCTTCAGTAGTAAAAATTGGATTGCATACCCCTGATAGAGTATCGACTGGATATATTGGAGAGATTACAGTTCCCTAACTATTTTAAAATTGTACAGAAAGGGCTTCAGAATCAAACAGGAAATATCTTTGAAAATGCCTTAAACCTATTGCAACCAAGCACAAATCGAAATAGTGAAAATGTCTCAATGATTATGGAATTAATTTATTTGTATCCGAAAGTATTTGAAGCTGAGAATGAAAAAAGTTACGTTTAATGAAAAAGACACAATTCACTTGTGTGATTAAAAACTTATGTGTAATAACGCGTTAAACATAGAAAGAAAATCGTATTGGTAAACACTTGCAACCTATTTAAAGTGCTTTTTCGCGCGCTAATATGGCAATTTGTAATGATAACGGCGGTAGAGACCAGCCCCGCCCTTAAACAGTTTGAGTGAGAATTCAAACAGCATTTACTTTTTCGCGCGCTAACGCGGCGTCCGTATAATGCCACTGCTGAATATTAATCCGAATTTAAAGGCCCTTTATTAGGTGCAAAACAAGAAAAAATCACTACTAAATATTACAACTACAGCTCGCAATTACTTGTCAACCTACAAACGAAATGTAAAAATTTGCGAAAAGTACTGCGCCTAATACTTCGAAAATTGCGTATGATTAGAAAAAGTGTAAAAAATAACAATTTGTATAGTAAACATAACACAACTCAGATTGCTCATGATACAGTAATTTAGATAGACATATTTAAATTTATTTCGCGCCAAAGTGGGCGGGGCTCGCAAATATCGATCGCCCCGATAGTTGTCGTTTCAAAATTAAGTTATGCTTAGACATATTTAAATTTATTTCGCGCCAAAATAGGCGGTACTGCAATATCGATCGCCCCGATAGTTGTTATTTATTTATAGCATTTAAATAGACATATTTCAAATGAGTGTCATATAATAATCTTCCTCAGTCACAGTAGACAAATGTAATTTCAAGGTTAACTGCA